TCTTGGACGTATTGCTCTTTTTCATTTTAATATTTAGAATGATAAAAGAGATGGCAGTTTATCACATTTTGTAGTACTCTCATATAATCATCAAAAATAAAGATTAGAAGAAGTATTATTGAACAATAATTTTATATTTATTTCGACTCTTTCACGTGTTCTATTTAGTCCAACTTTCGTTTCTGAAAGTCTGAGCTCACAACTAACTTGGCAGGTATTTTGGTTTCAAAATCTAACGGGGCTTGAGAGACAACCAGGTGCGCTTAGAAACTGTTATTTCTCTTCGCCCAAAGACACGCAGACACAGCCTTTTTGTAACGGAAGTTATTCAATGACCTTCAGCGATGTTAAAGACTAGCAATCTTTTTATTACAGTATTTTCTATAATTCTTTAGACATTATAATTCTTTAGACATAGTTTCTAGTCTTATGTATTATATATATATTTGGGCTGTTAGTTTGAATATTTTTCAAAACATGTTTAACTAATTGATGGTTTATATTTGTAAATATTACTTGCAATTCAAAAGTAAAATCGTTTATAAACAGAAAAAAATGATTAAACAATTTGACCCATCGCCATTAAAACTTCCTATGTAAACATACAGAAAACATTTTAAAACAAGTTTCAGTAAAATGGTTAACTTTTTATTGTTTTATTTAATTTTTTATTTCAGTATATGCGACACCACATACCAGCATCATCTGTCCGTATGGATACATGTTAAGGAATAGGGAATGCTGTAAGTTGTGAATAACAATTTACTTTGTTTTTATTCTGCTCATTTATTTTTGTCAAAAGTAGAGGGAAAAAATTGTGTCGTAGAAATATGGGTTCATATTAGTTTACAGATAAAACTCTTAATAAACTAAAAGTACTTTTTAAATTGTCACAACTTAAACATTTTTATTGAAACAGTATAATGTGTTTTTGCTAGTTTATTTGTTTAAGTATATTTTCCACAAGAGGATGATGATGATAAACGGCTATACAATACATAATATAGATAAAAACACGCCATTCATGAAACAAATCACTCTCTTTACCGTTTACAAAGAATTCTTCTGTGAAAGGGTTACTCTGTGCTGATTTATTGTTCAATTTTAACTTAGTTACACGATTTAATTTACTTCTTTTGATCAACATTTGGTGTTAAAGGTTTGGTTAAATATGTATATTATAAATTATTCCTTTCTTTAAAATCCATTCCCACCTGGACAGTTCAGAGTCAACGAGCAAAGACAATGTGTCCCGTGTTCTAAGGATCATTATAGTGATTATTTTGGATTTTACAAATGTTTGGCTTGTCCAGAAGGTCGATTTGCAAATCCAGGAGCTTCCTCGTTGGATGCATGTAACAGTAAGTTTTACCAACTACTTATCACCGCACTATGAACGACTATATCTGAATTATATTTAGAAATTCTATTGCTGCAAGTGCTTAACTCTGAAATAACGTTACAACTTCTTTTCAGTATCATTGACAAACCATGTTATTTATGTAATTAGACATTATCCACTTCTTATATAGAGAGTGAAGTAACTTACACTATGAGCTTAATACGAAGTTCGAGTAATTGACACATGGTCTGTTTTTACTAATCAAGCATATTATCTTGTAATAATTTTATTCTTTGGTATATCTGACTATGTTTTTTTTTTTAAACAGAGGTTTAGCTGGTTTTTGTTCAACTGTTTTATCAGTTACCTTTAAGTTTTATTTTCGATTTTCTTTGTTATTTTCATTATCAGCGTTTCTAACTAATTTTGCTCTGCCTTTCCTGTTTATTGTTCAAAAATACGTTCATCTCTTCTAACGATTTGAATAATACATTCTCACAATACCAAGGATAAAGTTCAGTGGCTTGTAGTTGTAGTTTCAAGGTGATGCACATTAGGCCACATGCTTAGCATCTTATAACTGGAGAGCTAAAACAAGTTTTGAAATAGAAATATTCTTATATCATGGTTAATAACAAAGTAGAGGTAAAGACAATATATTAAGAGGGGTTCGTTGTTTTCCAAAGAAGCAGAAAACGCTTGAGGATTAGACAGCTTATGACAGCAAGGAGCTCTAATCTGTCCAGAGTAACTTCATCATCTATCATGATTATTAAAGAGAACTCTCCGAAGCTAAAAAGAAACAATTGATAAACAACAACAATATTGCGATGAAGGTTGACATAGTTTTCTATTGTTTAGGGGGTAATAAACAATGATCTGAGCTGGTAAAGGCTTACAAGCTGAAAGTTCACAAACACCTAGTCACACCTCGAAATCAGCAACTGTTTTCATGAGAAAAATGGTTCAAGCAGTGGGAATCACAGTATATAATCAAAGTCCCCAGTGTAACTACAATGGACGTTTACACATTCACTCTTTTTAAACTTGGTATTAGGATCCGATATAGAACGGATAATCTATGTAAAATGTGGCAAGTTTAAAGACTGACCTAATCTAATAATAATATTAATCAAACTGAATACGATCGTTGAAAATGGAAGTAGTTTGAGGGACAACACAGAACTTCCAACACCGTTCTGGTGTTATTAAGATTAATCTCAACTGTTTTGCACACAGGCGTACAAGGCAGGAGAACTGAGGGGGGGGGGGTAACCACCCCAGCTTGCAATACATACGGCCATTTGAACAATTTTCAGTTTTCATGCGGGCAAAATTAGAAGCAGAAAATATAACCTCATAACCCCATTCTGGCAAACATTGTATACCCCCCTTCTGAAAAATCCCCCGTAGGCCTATGATTTTGCACATAATGAACTTTAGTAAAACCCCATAAATGAGATTTTATATAGATTTTTGTACAATGATCCATTAATATTTATATATAGGATGTTTTTCAGACGGATTTATTTTTAAAAAGGAGCTGTGTATCTGATTTAGCAGAGATTCTTCTGTAACGTAAGTTACGACTAGTTATATAACAAATGGTTTGGGTGTTTCATTCCCATTGGTTACCTTCAGGTATTGCAATTTTTAATGACTTGAAACTAAATATTTTTCACAAGTTAAATATTACTAAATTGGTGCGGTTTGAAACATGTTTCATATAAAATGTTTTTATTTGTAAACAAATAATATCAACAACACTTTATATGAAAATATTTATTGATTAACAATCTTCTTCTTCTGTAGCTTTTCCCGTATCTATACGGGGTCGCTATTTTTGACAGCACGTTTCCACTCTCCTCGGTCTTCGTATTCGTCCTCAACAAGGGGTTTCTCTCTAATATCTCCATCCACGCAATCCTTCCATCTTCTCCTTGGTCTTCTTCTCTTCCTTTTCCCCTCCACCTCCATATCCAAAACCCTCTTGCCTATATAATCATTTTCCCTCCTCATCACAATACGAATGTTAAACAATAATATTATTGTTTTCATTTAAGATATTTACGCTTCCATTTGTTTTTGCCACGGTGAGAATACCACTTCTAATACTTTTATTAGGGTAAGCATAATATTTATGTTGGTTGGATTTCTTTATTGTTAGGTACAAAGCTATCCAACGGGATCGAACCCCTAATTGTAACATTACTAACCCTCAAGTTTACAGCTAATTGGTTGGGTGAAACCCTTCAATCTATGTAACATATATTATCACGATTTTGAAATTGATTTCTTATAATGAAATTTTCCAATGGTACTTGCGATTCTTATACTGATTAATTGTTTCTAACATGTAAACTCAGGAAGGTGTGGAGTTTTAAAAGTATGTAATTAAACTCGAATTTTTAACTAGTACTTATACATGGAAAAATAATTTAGATTTAACTGCTAATTGTTATTGTTAATTAGATTTACTTAATCGCCACTTAACTCATTTAATATCAAATTTGATATTTTCATTTTTATTTCTTCCTCTCTTACCATAATCTAGAATCTAATATAGAAGTGTTCTCCAATAATGAAAATTTGAGATGTTGATTAAAGCGAACAATAATCTTATCTTGAAACGAGTTCATTAGCAATGTATTAATATAGTAGTATGATATTATAATGTGTGGGTTTTTTTTATAGCAAAGCCATATCGGGATATTTACTGTGTCCACCGAGGGGAATCGACTGCTGATCTTAGCAACGTAAATCTGTAGACTTAAAGCTGTCCCAGCGGGAGGGTGGATATTATAATGACGTTAACATTTAACAGAATACGTTAAATTGTTGCTGTTTGTCGCTTAGCTCATGTTACTTTTGATATATATATATATATATATATATTTACTGACGCTTATAACAGTATACATATTTATCAAAATTATTTTTTTCCAGTATTATAATTTGGAAACGACAGAGTCTCAAGATATCACAGTGTTGTCAAGATAGAAATCCAGGGAGAGAAAGAAACCTGGATTATGTAAAATATTCAAAGATTGGTGACTATAACTTAAAACATGAGGAACATGTAAAAAAGCTGCTAGAGACGCCAGAACGAAAAATGTATC